TGAAGGTTTACTGAAACCAGTCTATTGGCTGGATAGTGTTTTGTAAATTTACACATAATAGAGGTTGTCGTCTGGTACACTGTAGTGGAGAAAGGGTACCAGTCAATACAGGCTTAAGGAATCACGGTACTAAGTTAGTTCCCATAGTAAACCTATGCAAACAACATGATATTAAAAATTAAATAACTTAAAATTTCGGAGTGCTTATGACCAAACTTATATTAGTATAGATGAAACCTGGAAGTTAGCTTCTGTGCAGAAGAAAGGATATGAGCCGCGGCATTTTCTGGAGCTGCATATATTTGAACCATGTGCTTTCAATTCCGCACCAAAGAGACAGGTGCTAATTTTAGTAATGAGTGTTCTAAATTCAAGACTATTAAAGAACTGAAATTCCATCAATATCAATAAGCCAGTGTTTCTATGTTTATTCTTTTTCAACTAGGATAAAGTCTCAAAAGATTTTTTTTCCCTAAAACATAACTTACATTATTAACTAATCCTGGTCACCCAAACCCGTATATACTATATTTAAACTTCACTTATTTCTAGGCTGGTCCCCATTTTTTTAATATAAATAGTACCGTGTATCCTTAAGTGCAGTCCTTTTTTTGAACGTCAAAGTCGCACATCAAGGTTATGTGTACGTTTAATATGCAAGTTGTATCTCAGAAACTGATAAAGACTGAAATTTGTATTTTAAAAAAAAATTGTACATACGTGACGGACAATGTGTCTAATTTACCACTTTCACAATTCTCACTTTGAGATCAAATGTAAAAATACTATTGTTGTATGGAACTCGAAACTCTATCATAGCAATAGACATCTACGATGGTGTATGTAAGGTCAGGTCTTGCGTCAGTGTCGTTTTTATTATGTCCAAAACTGTCTCCCAAAAGCTGTTCTGTTATTATAGATAGTGGAATAAAACGAATTACCCATGATCCTGTATAATATTGATTGATGGTGAATACTGTACCTGCTATGTGCATTGATATCATGGTCCTCCTGTCAGCAAGACCAAGATCCCCTGTGAAGGTTACTTACATTTTTTATTACGACTAAGTGTAAAGTCATTGAGGTAGTTTAATGAAACTTACCTTATATCATAACTTCTGAGTATGTTTAAAAACATTTAAATATTCATCTTTTTAGAATAAGACAACTACTTAACATCGTTTATTTTTTTCAGGGCTTTAGTGGATACGTTTTGAAGGATGGTGATAATGAGATAATTGGTTTGGCGCTTTACGGCACAGCAACTCAACGAGTTTGTTTAGTACCGAAGCAATGGACCTAAGGACAACACGGTAGCCTATCGGGGCCGATCAGATGAATATTGCGATAAAACTTCGCATATTCATGACCTTGGGCCATATCACATGCCACGCATGAATAATGCTATTTTCAAGGTAAAAGTTATTTCTTAGGGATGGTATGTAACCCAGAAGCTGTTGAAGTAGATGAAAATAAACATTTTGGATAGTGCGTCTAAAAACATTCTTACCTACAAAATTTTGCTAACAATCGTCTCAAGGTTGCTTACTTGCAATATCTTTACTTTAACGATCTTCACAAAGGTTACTTCTTTATAATGCTACGGCTGTAACTGACTTCTTGAGGCTCCTTATGTATAATGTCTTGGCCGCAAGTGTCTCCTCAATGTTAATTATATGTGATGTTTTGGCTGTAACTATCTTCTCAAGGTTACATACTTAACAATGTTTCTGCTGTAACAATATTCTCAAGTTTAATTAATTATAACGTCTTGACTAAAACAGATTTTATCTGCTTTTATAACTTAAAATTTGTTAGAAACTAATTTTGGATTTGCATCCCGACTCTTCTTTTGTTTCTTATTTTTTTATATAATCTTGTTTACTTAAGCAAATACTTGCATTTAAAAGATTTAGCAGAATCATTTACATTGTTGTCCTCAGATTTTTATTTGGGTTGAATTATTTATTCCAATTATTATTTTCTGGAATTATAAAGTGCTCAATCGTATCCTTAGACAGAAAAAATTAACTGGGAATTCAGACAAGGACCTCTTGGATTACGTTATTGCGATTCATCAAAATACTGTTGGCACATCTCCACATCACTGCCTACTAAAATATTCAGCGTTAGATCTTTTTTTTTTTTACTGGAACTGAATTAGAACCTCATTCATTTGGACTGGTGATAAAACGTCTTGGATTATTTTGGATTTAATTCGCATTTACTGTACTTTCTATTTAGATTTTCACTTGTATTGAAAGAAAATAATTTTTTGTTGAAGTTTACAAAACTCGACAGTTTTCATTCTTTTATATTACTCACTTTAGGACCATCGAGTTGCCGCTCGTCCTTGGGTTACGAATTTCTTAAAAATGTTTCAAAAAACTGATTTTGAAATTTAAATCCACTTTGTTTCAGAATTTTCTAAGTTCAGAGTAGAGTATTATTTTACATATTTGAGAAATCGATAGTGAAACCAGAGTTTCACAGTGTCGTCTTCAGCAGATAGGCTTATTTCTTCTCTTACCCAGGACGGGATAAAATGTTTGAGGAACATAATTACAGCAATAAAAATTGGAATTAAAGTTTAGAAAAATTCAGTTTCAGATATAAACGATAAAAAATAGAAAGGGAAGTGAGAGGCATGCAATTGCAGAAGGAATAAAGAGATAGTCAGATACAGTTAGAAAAAGAGAAAGTGTATGTGTGTGTGTGATTTGGATTTTTAACGTAGCTTTAGCATTTTGTTTAGACATATAGCTACCATGTCTGCAGTGTAGCAGTTTTTAGTGAAATATATAGCACTAGGGCATCAACCCACATACATGTAGCATGATGTCTTACCTAGTCACATTATCCTGATACGAGGCCGACCAGTAGTAACACTAACTTTTTAATCCTAAGCGCCTAGCAAGGCAGCTGTTACTACAATTTTTAAAATAAGTCTTTGGTATGACTCGGCCGGGATTCGACCTCGCGACCTGCCGCATCCGAGGCTGACACTCTAACCACTAAGCCACCGGAGAGAAAGAGAAGATAGCTTAATGTAAATGCACATAAAATGAGAACAAGAAGAGGGCAGTGCAAGCACATTCAGACTATCTTTGGATGTATGAGAACACATCTACAGAGTTTGTAAATATACAATTGAAACGCAACTCAAATTCATATCTTGAGTTTTAAACTACTGCTATTTCCACCGAATAAGAAGACTGATTCTTAGGATAAAATATCACAGACGAAAACATCCCCACCCCACCCCTCTCAAACAAACCCCGAACTTTTTAACGTGAATATAATTCTTACCATGCTAAGACCTTTGCTCTCAGTGTTTCTAATACAAATTCCGTTGAAGGAAGCCAATTACAGTTTACAGGAATCAAGATTACCAAACTCTTTTACAACAACTGTTTCCACATTCAGTTTCAATCAGTTTTAGACGACGTGTGCGTGTTAGTGGCTACGTTTCTTGGATTTCGTATACTAGCAAATTCATTATGAACCATTAATGAACAGGAAATGGAGCATATACATGACAAATTTAACGTTACATGTGTACGAAAGACATTATGTTAACCTTGATGAGGATGATGATGAAGACAAGTTTTGTACCTAGTTGAAAAAAAGACATTCGTCATATTTAGTATATACGCTTCATACGTACTAAGAAGTGCACATCGAAGTTGGTTACACCAACACAATTACAACTAGAAAGATCCACCCAGTCACATTATCCTGACACTAACCTATTAATGCCGAACGCGTAAAGAAGCATCTGCTAGTGCCATTTTTACAATTCTTTGATATGACTCGGCCGGGCTTCAAACTCGCGACATCCAGAGACGGATGCTTTAACGACTAGGTCACCGGAGCGGCAGTAGTAGTAGTAGTAGCAGTAGTATTGTACAAATAGAAAAGAAAGAGGAAATTACATCAGAGACCACGAATTCCGCAGATTATTAGAACACCAATTCGTCTACATAAATTTCATGGCACAAAAGATCGAGATTATTGAACACTTACCCGTTTATATGCAGCTTTGGTCATGTTAATTTGGGCCACATTGATGTACATGTGTGTGTAACGGAGAATTATAAACATTAAAGCCTCTTTAATTGATTTGGCGTTCGTTAACTAGGGAATGATCTCCCACAGTGTTTTTGCTCAGTGTGGACGCATAGATGCAATGTTAACAGATAGCTGAGCAAGCGATTGAAAGAAATAAACAACAACGAGCCCCCTTTTCCAAAAAATAAAAGTAAACTTCATCAATTAGTACATAACCAAAATTTCACTTACAACTAATACAACAGATTTACTAAAGTAAATGTAACCAATTAATGCATAACCAAAATATCAATTTTAATTTCAATTTCACATTGATAGAATTTAGTTTGCAGTGTCCAATTTACATCATATTACGAGTAGTGAATTCTGAGTTAAATCCTACGCTTGACACGTCTATCGCCTCTAGTCTTGTTTCCATGTCTAATGCGTATGCTTTGGTTTCTTTTCCGACCCATGTTTAGTCCGGCCTCACTTAGATGCGGATTTTCCCTTGACTCATCGGGTTTTTCTGTACTTATCTTCTTCTCTCTCCCCCTCTCTAATTGCACATTTTATCTAAACTTTGATAAAAGCACCATAGATATGCAAACTTTCGCGAACAGTGTATGAAAGGCGGATAATATGATTTTTTCAGATATGATCAATTGTATGCGAACATTTTTTCCCCCGCAGACCTTATACTAGTCCTGCTTGTACCTGGTACTAGCCCTGCTTTTAATTCCATCAGTATTTGTGGAACATCGGTATTGCTGATCACTGAAACATGTCGCTTGTGTGAACGGTTTACGGGTGAGGATTAAAAACTGTACTGAAGTCTATTTTGTGCCAGTAACCTTCTAACTTTTCTGCGACTGCTGAGGATGTGTTCAAAACTGACTATATGTGAATGCAAATTGGACTCCAGTCTGAATACCAAAACAGAATGGATCGCTCCAGTGGCCTAGTGGTTAGAGCGTTCGCCTCGGATGTGGGAGGTCGCGGATTCGTAACTCTGGCCGAGCCATACAAAATACTTTTAAAAAATGGTACTTACAACTGCTTCTCTTGGCGCTCAGCATTAAGAAGTTAGTGTTAGGACTGGTCGACCTGATGTCAGGATAATGTGACTGGGTGAGACATGATGCCACATGTCTGCGGCATGATGCCCCCAGTGCATAATATCGCTATAAACTGTCACACTGCAGACATCGTAGACATAACTGAAAAATTGTTAAAGCTACGTTACAAATCTAAATCACACACACACACACACACACACACATCAAAACAGAATGACATACTGCGTGAGACACCATATCTTTTAAAAGTTCAAGACTTCAATTCCTACAGTAATCAACATGTAAGAACTATTTGTACAAGGTTATAGCCGCCTTTCACCATACTACTACTCTACCGGTAACACATTGAAATAGACATTAAAAGCATCAACATAAACCTCAGAAGTTACATCTGCCACTTGGATGCTTCAGGTGACCACATTACGTGAAGTCGGGTTCTCTTTTTACACGCTCAAACACATAATTATGTCCGAGCTATCTTTTTCTAAAGGCGATTTCCAGCCAATAACAGGGAACAGATGCTGTTTCACGATTTTCGATATTTTGAATTAAACAGAAAGCTAATGGAAAATAAAATTTGTAAACAGTTCTGAAACAGTACCCCTTAAGGCAAGGAAGCTTACATTACGTACAAAATAAGAGACAATGGTTTACACATAATTAGTTTGAACACTTTTTTTATTATTCTTGAAACAAGGAAATGAATTTGTTCCGAGTTCTTGCATTATATTTTTTTACCCCTCCCAAATTCCGAGTTCTTGCGTTGTATTTTTTTTACCCCTCCCAAATATAACATGACAATCTACGTGGCAGTGTTCGATATAACGTACATAAATTGTTTACTTGATCAATAGCTACGTGATATATTTAAATAAATCCGTCATATACAGTCTCCTGAAGAGACCAACATACTTCACCTCAAGACAGTAAACAAGATTCTAATTAGTGAATAACATTGCGATTAGTAGGCGTTGTTATTGTTACGTAGGTGAAGGAAGGGAAGTTCACACTTGGTCTACTCACCCTTGTATGTACATTCACTACCGGTGATGGGGAGGTGTGCAAAGTTTAAAATATAATGGTGCCGTGTGCACACTTTGCAAACTCCGCCATCAGAAAACATCGAAGCAAGGTAAGTCAAGGAAGTGTTTATCTTGAGATTAACCATTCATTCTTTCACTTGTATGATGAAGTTTTAATCACTTTCCGGTATTTTAGTCTTGCAGTAGAGTTTTTATTTACCATATATATATATATATATATATATATATATATATATATATATATATATATATATATATATATATATATATATATATATATATATACATACATACATATATATATATATATATATATATATATATATATATATATATATATATATATATATATATATGTGTGTGTGTGTGTGTGTGTGTGTGTGTGTGTGTGTGCATAATTGGGCGTTCAACACATATCATGCAGAGGTTATGTGAGTAATGGAGTAATGTGTCTTTCCCAGGATCATATCAGAGCAGCTAACCTGGACTGGCTTAGGCAGGTATTGCACCCGCGACTCGTGCATTACGATTCCAACGCCCTCCCAAATAATCTGCAGCAGCTCCACCAATGGAGAGAGAGAGAGAGAGAGAGAGAGAGAGAGAGAGAGAGAGAGAGAGAGAGAGAGAGAGAGAGAGAGAGAGATTTATTCAGTCTGGAATAAGAAAACGCATTTGATCAGATTTCTGTCTCTTCATTCATTTAGTCGGATACAGTCCATGTGTTACAAGAATTTTGCTTCACGCCTTAAAGTCTCAGTTTTAAACTGACGGGGTAATTGATGCTACATAATCTGACCTGTCCAGTTTTTTTGTTGTATTTCTTTAGTGGCTATAGACGGCCAATCTTCAAATAAGCATTTATGTGCAGGCAATAATAATAATAATAATAATAATAATAATAATAATAATAATAATAATAATAATAATAATAATAAAGTGTGTAATATAACTGCGCTGATAGTGGGTGGGTGGATGATTATGTATCTAATAGCAAAAAGATAATTGAATATATAATTCATCGTATGGATGGAGCTAACATGGTAAGGTTAGCAGGAAGGTAGGAAGGATGCAGACAAGGAATACAAAATAAAATGGGTGGTGCAGTGGATTCTTAATTGCTGTAGTTTTACTTCAACCCCCACCCCCACTAATCTAGTAGCCAGCATACGTCAGAATGTGGAACTATTTGCTTTTAAATCTGAAATGATGGTGTATGTATCTTTCTTATCTCCATCTTACATACAACTAATCATTATATTTCCTCTACCTGTTCCCTTTAACCCATGCTATATAGCGATAATAATAAAAAAGTGTGGTTTTCAGGCTTCCGATGGATTTGGGCTGCATTCCATTCTGCTTAGTAAGGTTCATGTACCTTATATCACCATAACTACGAGTTCAAATAAAGTTAGACGTAAACGGCGTTTTGACAGAAAGTCCCCTGCTTTGTTTTATATAATTTTATGTACAAAATTGAAATATACTTATTCAAAACAGGCGGACGGACTTACGTAATAAAACAACGTTCATACAAACGAATTCTGCTGGAGAAAATTCTTTCGCATATGTCCCATTTTGTACGGAAACAACCCCACTTGTATTCGACACTAACTTACTACAATTTCTTTCCACTGTTGATTTATGATGGTAAGCCTAGGGCATTGCCCCATGGGTGATCTCTGATCATTAATGATTAGCTTTTCGTAAACAATCATCTTCTTCTTCCTCCTCCTCCTCCTCAACCTTAGTGTTCCGTGGGCAAGGTACTTTAAATCAATTGCCTATGCACTAAATAACCTCCTTAAGTTACTAAACAATCCAGTTCTCTCTTTATACTGATGTAGTGACCTGCAACGAGAGAGAGAGAGAGAGAGAGAGAGAGAGAGAGAGAGAGAGAGAGAGAGAGAGAGAGAGAGAGAGAGAGAGAGAGAGAGAGAGAGAGAGAGAGAGAGAGAGAGAGAGAGAGAGATGCATGACCTGCATAGAACAGCATCGCCTGAAGTCATTTTGGTACAGAATACTTACACCACGTGATGTTATAGAGACTTGTTACGTAAAATGGCACGTGCAGATTCTTAAGAATGCTTTTTGTGCATAAGTAAATTCTCTTTTCCAGGTTTCAATAAAAGGCAGTGAAAAATCAGTCTTTTTGCAAAAAAAAAAAAAATATTCGCTCAACCAGTCTCTCGGCAGGCTCTTAATTAAAACGTAACCGGTCTTTTCCATCGAATACATGAAAAACTCGGTAAAATGGCAGTTTTGAACTTCCCTGGAGACAGTGGCTGTCTATACGTGACAATAACTTCTCAACGCCATGACGTCTTTAGATGACGTGCCATCACAAGCTATTGAAAGCGTATGATTTCTTTGGTTGTTTCATTACAAATTTGCAAGAATAAAATAAATAAATTCAAAAGTGAAGGTATTGATTGTTCATATTTTTCGTGTGCTTTTTCCATAACAGCTCCTTCCTAGTTAGAATTGTTATCTAATTGTTTGGGCGACGGGATGTTGATTAAATGATAAACTGCGTTAGCCTAGATAATATATATTTATTATTGCATTTTTAAAATGAGGATTTTCAATGGAGAGAAAACAAAGTTACTCTCTTTGTTATTTCAGTTGTGTTTCGAACAACAAAACGTCATTTCATCATTTCAGTCTTACGATGAAAAAAGAAGCGTATCTTAAATGCTGGTCTCATAGCATGTGGTTTGGATGATTGACTTGAACATATATTTTCTCCACTCCACTTCGAAGATGATCACACTCGTTTTTTGCAAAGTTGGCTCGACTCGTGTCTGAACAAAGCTATCAGTTATATATATATATCACTGAACGTAATCTGTATTACTCTGAACATAAATGATGATTGCTCCAGACAGCAGGTTTCTAGCCAAAATTTGTTTCCAAGGTAGGGATTTTATCAATTCTGCACAAGTCTTTAAAAGAAACACGGGAACTTGGCTGCTTGCATCTTCATGAACAATGTTATAATTCCTATCTATTTTTTTGTAATGGCATAATCTGTTCTGTTTCTGAAATATATAACCGTCTCTACCCTCCTTCAAAATTTGGTATTATTGCATAAGCTGGAGCAACCGCGCATGTACAGACATAGCTGTCCTACGTGGAAAGGATTAGTTCATGTGTGACGTTGTATTAACGTTGCCAAATCGATAATTTCCAACGTAACCAGAAAACGTTGTGTGTTAGCTAGGTACTGAGTGTTCTGGTAAATTTCGAGACAGTAGATACAATTATTCCAATGTCTTAATTGGTTGGAGTGATTTTTCGTGATACATATGGCTTAAAATGATTGAATTTCTCATAATACCTATGGCTTTAAGCGTATTTATCTCGATATGGTCCGAAGGAGACAAAATTTCTCACAATATATATGGCTTGAAGCGATCGAATTTCTCATAATGTACATGACTTAAATAGATTTGATTTAGATATGGCTGTAAGAGATCGATTTTCTCTCTACATGGCTTTTAAAATTCAAATTTCTCATTATATTTATGGCTTAAAGAGATCGAATGTCTCACGAATACATATGGCTTAAAAAGATTGAGTTTTTTCCCCCGCTATGGCTTACAAAGATCGAATTTCACATAATACATATTGCATAAGGAGATCAAAGTTCTCATGGGGCAGATGGTAAAGAGGTTAAATGTCCTACGATACATATGGGTTAAAGATATATTTCTCACCGTACATATGCCTTTAAGACATCAAATTTCTCTTGCTATTACTAAAAGACATCGAATTTTGCATGTTATGGTTTAAAGAGATAGTATTTCTCATAATACCTATAGCCTAATGAGATCGAATTATGATACATATAGCGCAAAAATGATCAAATGTCTATTGAGGCATAGGGCTTAAAGAGATCGTA